TATATGTATAAGTAACTTTGTATTTTTTCTTAGAAATAAACCAAGTTTCTATAACTTGCGTTAAATTCGCCAGCGAGTCGACGACAAATGTAAACAAAAACGCCTGGACTTCCACTTTGAAAACGTCGCGCAATATACCTTTTGGTTGCCATTATTTGGGCCAATTTTTCGTATTGCCCGCATTACCGCTCGCGAAAACACAGAAATCGTGAAAATTTATTTATGATGACTTACAATCATGCATAGTATATTTTACTTAAATTTTTTATAAAATTTTATTATTTAAACCCACGAAAATAACAATTGAAACGTTCTCCGTTAACAAATTTGCAACTTAGAAAAACGGAACTACGATCGAAATGTAGAATAGGTATAATCGTAAATTTCTATTGATCGAAAGGAAACGGAACGCAGAATACCAAAGTTGCCAAACGGAGAAAATTTCGATTCGAGTCGAAATGCAGAATAGGGCTGAATATTAACCAGACATTGAGTAACCGGCCCTAAAACTATGTTCACATATCATTATTATCTCAATCAAAGCTCGTTTTTTAATCACCCCGTTTACATAGGCAAATCTCACACCCCTATTGCGAATGTCGACTGGCAGTAGATAAACGACTATTAAGCGATTATCGATGCTATTGCGAGTGTCGCTTAGTCGCTCAATTAGCGACTGTGAATACTTTGTAATCGCTCATCCTTCTATTGCTGTTTTTTAGTCGTTGGAGTTTGCGTTTATAAAATTTACATAAGAAAGTGGTACTATAATGGATAAAAAGTAAGTCAATTGAACTGGAAGTTGTAAAAAATTGTGAAATATACATATGCATGTATGTGTCTGAATTACAGATCAAAAATTATAAGCAACAAAAGGCAACTTGCGCGGTTGGTCGTTCTGATGCAGGAGAGTGAAGACATAGGCAAAGGAATTTCCGGAAAGAGTAGGGTAGGAAGCTCCGCTTCTATTGGAAAAGATACATATACAATATTTCTTGTGCATATAACTCCGGCTACGCCATCCACAATGTTTTTGCGCAGAACCAACATCAAAAGTTTATACAAAAAAACTGCATAATTTATTAATTGACTAGTGCTCGGAAATTTGAAATCTTTATTTTAAATTAAAGTTGAATTCTGTCAATACACTTGTTATGTTGTTATGTTAAAGTTTTTAAACTCGGGTCACGCGTTTGGACACAAAAACCCAACATCATTGTACAAAAAACTTAAACGTACCGTATTTCTTAGACTTCCATAAAGTTTATTAATGAGGAAAACAGCTTTTCCTGCAAATCATGTAAAGCCTAAAAACCGTGAAGCATCGGGAAAGCAACTTCTATTCATAAAAATCACATATGTACATACACCTTCAAGTCCAAGGGATCCGACGAATCTCGCAATTCCCTCCTTGCTTTTGCCAACTCAACTAATCTATTAGCTTCCGCATCATCTTCCTCATCACTAAACCATATTTCAACTGTGTACATTTTTTAAATTTTATAATAAAAGCAATTATTTTAAAAATGATGTAAATAAAACACTCAAGAAACAAATGTAAACAAACAAACAGCTGTTTACAATTCTGTCAACCATTCACAATAGTACAAATTTTTATCGATCAAGTTACACAAAGCAAAATAAAAGATGATCGACTCGATCGACAAATTTCTATTCTACTGCCAGTCGACACTCGCAATAGGGGCCTCAGATTATTAGCCGTCAAATTTTTTGTGCTTGTTATTCTCACATCTCAAGGAAAGGTTATATTTCTTCTCGGTGCCACCGTGATCACGTTTTTTTGCTATAATAAGCAATATAAATATATTTTAACTTAACATTTTATTAAAAATACCTTTACAAACCTCTTTTACTTGCTAGCGTACATTTTTGTTTACTTTTACATTTGGCATTTCTTCTCTCTTTCGCAAAAACAATCGATAAACTAGGATGGACACCGAAAAGTTATCGGTTAAATCTGAGATTTAATAATTACAGATTAACAAGGGACGAATTTTATATGGCTAATCTCTTGTTATAATTACAGATTAGGGTGTTAAGCTCGAAAATGAGGATAATCTACTTGTATGTGAACCTAGTGTAAGGGCCGGTTGTTCAATGTCTGATTAGCACAAATCGGAGGTAGAAGCTCCGGTTGTTGTTGTAGCGGCTACAACAACCCCGCCCAGATCGGTTGGTATCTCAGTCGTTGTCGTCAAGTTCCACTAACGGCAACCCTAGGAAGCGTCCAGCTTCTGTGGGGTTTGTCCACAGGGACAAGGCCGTTAGGGTTGTCGGGTTTTCCGGGCATGCGAAGAGATGTTTCGAGTCATGTGGGGTCTCTCCGCATGCCGGACAGTCATTCGGCACATCCTCATTCAACCTACTCAAGTAGGAGTTCAACCTGCTGCAGTAGCCGGAGCGAAGTTGTGCGTGTCTCCCGAGGCAGATGAAGCTCCGTCTCGTCAATGTCCGGGGGTGGTGTGCCTAGAACGGCATTCACAGTCCGGTTAAATAGGACTGCTTTATCCATCACATGTTATATGAATGTCCAAAACGTCGATGATGTTTCACCGGCACGTAGTGATAACCAGACATTGAACAACCGCCCTTATAATCAAAACCCTTCCCCCCAATTATTTTTTTCGTGTCGAATTTCACTAAAATTTTCCCAAAATAATTTTATGGTGAAAAACTGTCTATTCGAATAATTTCGGTTAGTCGATTTTCAGACTACCCGATAGTGAGCGGATAGTCTATTTTTAAAGAGATCTAGCTTGTAAATAACTAAATCAAGGCTATTCAAAATTTGTATATTAAAGTGCAAATCGAAATGCATCTACAAATGCTTGTAGAAACTACATTTACAAGTGTAAAATATTTCGCTGATAGCTACAAGTGTATAATATAATATTGTTACAAAAAATTATAGAACTTGTAGCTACACTAATAATTTGTAAGACTTGGTACAATTGTGAACTTTGTGTTACAGGCCTCATTAGGCGAAGTTTCAGGCCTGGCGTAAACGGCCTTTCAGTCAAGATTTGACTCAACTAATCTCCTCATGTAAACATTATAATATATTCACTAAAATATCCCTTTTATAGTTGTATCCATTTAATTTGTTAAAGGTAATACAAAACGAACAGCCAACGAACTTAAGTCTATTCGTTCTCCTGTGATCGCAAGCGACTGTTTGGATTTGTAAGACGAATTGACAGTTGCTTGGCGCGTTCAACAATTTCCTTCCGTTTCTTGGATGATACACCATGAGCGATTTCACCGCAGTATTCGCGATTTTGCATTAACAGCACTTCTAATTCTCGGACGTTGTGCACTAAGAATTTCTTGAAGCCAGTTGGCAGCATATGACGAGTGCGTTTGTTTGAACCATAACCAATGTTTGGCATGAGGTACTGGCCCTTGAAACGGCGACGTACCCTGTTGTCTATACCCTTTGGTTTACGCCATTTGTGCTACGTAAAAGAATTGGTTTAGCATTTATTATTTTAAATTCGTATTTTCATACCGATAGTTTCGCATAGCGATCCGACTGATGGCGAATGAAGTGTTTGGTGCGCTTCTTCACAATTTTCGGTCTGTATGCGGGGCGAATCGTCATCTTAACACTGTGAAGAGAATTTCAAGTTTAGTATCAGCGACGAATTTGTTTATACTGACAAATTTTTAGCATTTGTCAATTTTATGACAAGATTTACACACATAAAACATTGTGATATATAGAAACTTGAAAATGTGTATGATAATTTATTTAGATTGGGGATGTTATATATATTCTAGGATTTTATTAGAAATTACACACCGAATTTTCTAAAAGAGCACGTCAAAAAGAAAGAATAGCGAAGTTGGCTGAAGTTTGTGCAATTTTGACATCAGGGTTCAGTGCTTCCAAATTACAAGATAGTTGCATTTCCGGTTCGGATATTAGCTGTGTATAGTAACAAATAATCAGTACTAGTTTATTCAGGAACCTGCAAATTTTAGTTTCGTTCGCGTAGCTGTTAATTGTTCATGTTTAACCAAAACTTTCAGGTTTTTGCGTTCGCGTACGCAAAAAACTTGCAAAGTAGGGGAAATTGAGAGAGCAAAGTGATGTTTCACTTTGAGGGGAAGCTGCTGGTTTCTGCTAGAAAAAGGTGCAATCCCGTATTCCTCGGACTCGGACTAGAAAACTGTCAAAAAATAAAAATAAAAGTACGGGATCGCTTTCTAGTAAAAAATGGTAACTTCTGTCCACTTCAACATAACCTCCAAATTTTGGTTGTAAATTTTTGCTTATTTTGTATGTAAACACACACAGCTCACACATGTAAATAACCAAAAATACTTTCAAATTCATTAGAATTCACTTAAACAAGTAATTAAATACTTTTCAACATGAATTAGCAGAGTGCACTTTTCTTTGTTTACAATTTGGTTGCCAAACACACTACAGCTGATCGTTTGACACATTTACCAGAATTTACCAGCAAAAAATTCTCGGACTAAAACTGGTAACTTCTGACAGAGAGAGAACCGTATTTACTCTATTTTTTGTCCTCTCAATAGTCAGAGAACCGAGTACGGGATCGATTTCCAGTAAAATCTGACTGATTCTGACTATTTCTGACTTGTCCGGACTCGTACGGGATCGCAGCTAAAATTTTTGCCAACAGCAATTTGCCCACAGGAAAACAGCTGGTTTGAATTTACGCAAAACATAAAATTGAATTTGATGGTTTGGAATAGAGATGGGCACGGGCCGGACTTTTGGCAGGGGCCCGACGGGCCCCTCCGTAAGCCCCCGGGTACGGGCCGGAATATTTACGGGCCTGGGCGTTCAGTAAAATTTCATAAAAGCACGAAAAGGCACGAAAAAGCCCGTTGCTAATACTAAAAATTTAGATGAGCTTTTGTTTTTATATAAAAAAAAATAGTACATATTTAAAACTCTTTTGATAAGAGAAAACAAATATTTGGAAACCGATAGAAAATATATGATACTTAGTAGTTTTGTTAACATTCATATCTGTACATAAAATACCTTCCACTTTTTCTACTTCCCAGAAAAGATATTATAAAAATCTTTGATGTAAAATATTGATTCACACAAAATTAAAAATACATATGTACATATGCATATATACAATAAAAGTTGGCTCTTTATATTCGGGCTGGGGCGTGTCCCGTCGTGCCGGGCCCCACTAAAGTTCTTAACGTGCGGGCTTGTGCGTGTTTTTGAAAGTTGATTTTGCACTCGTGCCGGG